CCGGCAGTACCTTGAAGGCATGCGATTTTGCCAAAGTGGTCATTGTACGACCGGACGAGGCGATAAACTTATCGCTTCTGGATGAAGCTGTCTTGGAGGACACCGAGAGAGTGCTGAATGCACGAAGTGGATCGTCGATCCTACGGAATCACTTGGATCCGTACTATCCTTTGGTAAAACAATTTCAAGACGTCGTCTTCAAAGACCAGCCTTCAGTCCTACCTCCGTACCGAGGTGTACGTCATGAGATCGACCTGGCTTCGGGAACCAATTACTTCGTAACCCGCCAATGGCCCCTGCCTACGGAGCAGTGCGACGTCATTGACGCCTTTTCTCGTGCGAAGCACGGTGCAGGGACACCCACATTTTGTGTTCGGAAGCCGAACGGCAAGTGGCGTATCGTTCATGCTTACAATAAGCTCAACGCTGCCACCATTCCGGCACAGATGCCAATTCCTAGAAAGGATGTTCTTTAAAATAATATGGTGGGATGTACGAAGTACAGTGCACTCGACTCGGTCGATGGGTATACCAATTGCTCATGAGAGCGAGTGATATTTCGCTGACAGCGGTGAGCACTCCGAGTGGCATGCTCTGGGCGTGTGGATAGTGATGTCCCAAGGGCTGTCAAATTCACCAGCAACATTTAATCGTCTGGTGACGCAGTTGTTCAGGCCCCACAGGGCGTATGCACAGACATACTTTGACGACATTTTTGCTCACAGTCGTGCGAAGCACGGAAGGACGGATACCAAGAACCACATCGTCCATCTAAGAGCGGTGCTCGATGCATGCGCACAAACAAACTGTACGCCAATGCAGACAAGTGCATCTTTGGCGCAGAAGAGATTCGCTTTTTGGGTGCTTCATTGGGAAGCGTGGCCTTCGAGCGGATTCCGCTAAGGTCAAGGCCAGTGTAGATTGACCGGTTCCAAAGAACCAGAGAACCTTGCGTAAGTGGCTTAGTCTTGCCAATTACTTGCACAAGTACAGCGTAAACTACGCAGAAATTGCCCGACCATTATTTACTCTCCTTAAATAGGATGTGGAATGGTGTTGGAACAGCGAACATGAGGAGGCTTTTGAAGGGGCAAATACAGCCTCCTGCATACACCAATACTGGCGCTGCGAGACCCTGATCGTCCTTTCAGCGTCATCTGTGACGCTTCGGATTTTGCTATCGGCTGTGCACTGCTGCAAGCAGACGCCGAGGGGCGAGATCGGGTGATCGCGTTAGCTGGATGAAAGATCTACCCAGTTCATGACAAAGAGTTACTTGCGATGAAGTATGCACTTGTCAAGTTCAGGATCCACCTGTTCGGTTTCTAGCTGTTTGTGATCTATACAAATCATGCGCCACTACGCACTGCGACTCTGTCGCCCTACCTCTCGCAGAGAATGGCTAGATGGCTACCTTCGTTACGGAATATAACTTCGAGGTGAAGCAGGGAAATCAGAATGCTTTGGCTGATACGTTGTCACGCAGACCAGACTATGAGCTTGCTCATGTTACAACGGGAACGTCGTCTGTGACGGATTTGATCCGCACCGCGTATTCGGGTGATGGGATATGTGTAGCGCTGCTACGGGCTCTCGGGAGCAAGGAGTTTGGAGACTCGGACAAGAAAT